TTTGTAAATATAATTTTCCTTCTTAATTATTATTATTAATCATGTGACTGAAAATCACGAGTACCCATTTATTTTTTTGTGATAGGTTATTTCAGGGGCTGCAGATATTTGGTAGGGGAGACTGAAGAAGCATTGCTAGATATTATGTTAAGACAAGAAATCCAAGCAAAGTTGCTAGTCATGCACAAAAATACTTCCTTCATCTCGCTCAAGGTGCCCCTAAGAAGGAAAGGAAAAGAACAAGCATCCATGACATAACCTTAAATGCTGAAATCGTGGTACCTACTCATGATGTTCATATGCTTCAGCAGTCACCAAGATTGCAGCATGTATTGCTTTAAGTCAGATGAATTTCCAAACTCACTTATGCACACCTTTGATATTTCAAGATAATGCCATGCACTAGTTTTTGGAAGAAGATGACAAATTTGTAGTTGCGTGGAGGGGTAATGATATTTTGTAAGAGGTGACGGAGAAAATAACATAACAGCCACCCCTGTTTTTTTAACCAATATTTCATTATGAATTGTTATGAGTCATTTATATAATAATGCACCGCTGTTATTGTTCTTCTCCTTTAACACAAAGACCCTTCTACATATTTGCCTAGAGTCTCACTGGTGAAGCAGAATCAAGGTACTAAAAATTGGTGGTGAAGCACAGAAAGGTGATAGTTCACATACAATTCCGAAGATAATCAAGTCTGCTGAGGAGTTTGGATTCTTTCAGGTTAATACTACTTCTTCTTCTTTTTAATAAATCTATTTTTGGTCAAACAATAAGATTTCCAATGCACTTGTTGAATACTTGAATATTTGTGTATGGTTTTGTCCCTACTGAAACAAGTTATCAATCATGGGATCTCAGTGAATTTAATGAACGACACAATTCCTCAGCTACCTTGATAATCTTCTGAATTGTATGTGAATTATCACCATATTGTGATTGAGTGTTTTCAAGCATTTATTTCAGATGCCAGCTGAGTACAAGCAAAACTTGTGTTCTGATGATCCTTGCAAGACATGTAGGATGTTTACTAGCAGTGTCCACTATGCAACTAAAAAGGTTCATCTTTGGAGGGACAATTTTAGGCACCCATGTCATCCTTTGGAGAAGTGGCACTTGTGGCCTGAAAATCCAACTAGAAATAGGTAAATGAATCATATCTGAGATATTTAAGGCCAATATCAGCACATCTTAGAAACTGTATTAAGCTCTTCCAGCATAAAGTAATCAAATGTATGGTAGATATTGCTCAACTCACTTGGTAAAGATGTCACCAATGTGGGACCACTTTTTGTAAAATGGTAAAATGTTGGAACCAATCAAGTTATTATTCTTATTATTTTTTGAGGTTGGATGTATTTATCACATCTTACTACCATCTCTATTACCGTTAAGTATAATTGGCCTCTTTATTTATCTCGTACTAACACCAACCTCGTTAATGATTTAAGGTGGGATTAAATTAAACATTAACTCTAAACAGGTACATGCGCTCCTGCCAACATAAATTTATGTCTATAGTTTGGCAACTGTAGACATAAATTTATCACAACATAAATTGTTAGGCTTGACATATTGGCAGAAAAGACCCTTCAAGAAATAAATGAAGTTGCTCAGTTTAGTAATATTTTAAAAGCACTATATCACCATTTCATATGCAATTTATGGATGCAAATGGTTTTCAACAACCAAATTATTGATATTATTAATGTTTATAATTAAGCTTGGGATATTTATTAGTATTCACTTGTACAATGAGCTGCATATTCTCAACACTTTCGATCATAATTCTATTTTGAAGTCACGTCTTACATTCCAATCTCGTGGAGTAAAGTTATTGAAGAATTTAATTTTGAAGCACTGTGATAAAACTTTTTTATTCCAGTCAACTCAAACCCCCACTAGAACCCCTACCTAAAAGGCTAAAACATATTGTTTTGCAAGGGAAGTTTCACAGCAAAAAAAAAAAAAAAACAAAGGAGCAAAAACAAAACTTGGGCTTAGTCCATTCAAGGGTCCAAAATCATGGAGAGAATGTTGAAGCCTTGGTTTAAGAAACCATAAAATAGTGTAATCCACAATAAAAAAAAAAAACCATAAAATAGTAGATCTAACGGAACAGTGACCATTTTGCCACTCTTGGCAAAAAAATTTACTAAACTGCCACGCCAACAGTAAATTTTGCCAAAATGCCACGCGGCATATTTCGCTACACTGTGTAGCGAAATATGTTTGCAAGTAATTCACTACACAGTGTAGCGAAATATGCCATGTCAGACTGCATAGTCAACAAAAATGACACGTGTCAAGCAGGCAGAAATACACTACACTGTGTAGCGAATTATGCTTGAATTCTGCCTGCTTGACACGTGTCATTTTTTGCTGACTGTGCATCCTAATATGGCATATTTCGCTACACTGTGTAGCGAATTACTTGCAAACATATTTCGCTACACAGTGTAGCAAAATATGCCGCGTGGCATTTTGACAAAATTTACTGTTGGCGTGGCAGTCTGGTAAATTTTGTTGCCAAGTGTGGCAAAATGGTCACTCTTCCAGATCTAACTGCTAACAGCTGCAACTATTCCTCGGGACTTCATCTTAGATGCAAGGCATTTTATAGAAGAAATATATATTTTTTACAAGAAAAAAAGATTTCTAAGAATATAGTAGAATTTTTTTTTTCTGAGTAAGTTACAAAAAGGTACTTGGTAGGTCCAAAATTTTTCCAAAAATGTTGGTTAATTATATTAATTCCCCACAGTTAAACTTGTTTTGCATACCAAAAAAAAATTATATTAATTCCCTAAGAAAATAAAAATATCATGTATCAGATGGTATTTTCGTTTGAGATTCTGTAGTTAAAACTGAAATAATGGGGAAAAAAGTTTCCCGAAAATATTTTTAGTTTCCTCATACCAAACGTTGGAAATTTTTTTTGCCTCACCCCACTTTCCCAGGATTTCTAAAACAATCTTCGTACCAAACAACCCCTAAGAGAGTTGTCTATCTATCTATCTTGGATTTTGATACTCTCATATGAAAAAGTGACCATATTATTTGATCATAACCACTCATTTAAAAATTATACATTTTTCTCTCTCTTATCTCATTATCAATGAGTGGTTGTGATCAAATAACATGACCACTTTTTTACATGAGAGGATCCAAATCCATCTATTTATATTAGAGAATAGTATAAACCATTAAAAAGTCACCACCCACCAACTTAAGCATGTCACGAGTTCGATACTCATCGTCACCGTCCCCATTTAATTAATACTTAATTAAGTCAGTAAATAATCAATTTAACTCAAGCTTAAATTGGTGGGTGAAGGCTTTTAATGATTTATATTATTCTCTAACATGCCCCCCATACGAGAGCTTACTAATCTTGAAGGGTGGATAATGTACAGGCGCACATATATGTGCTAATAAACTATACAAGACTTAATTAATTATTATTAACTAAATTAAATGGGGTGGTGAGGATCCCATGATACCGAGACTCTAATATCGTATAAAGAATCAATTCAACTCAAAAACTTAAGTTATTGGGTGATGGTCTTTTTCAATTGTTTATATTATTCTCTAACAATATATCATTCTATATTTTGGAATCATTCTATATTTTAATAAAACATTGTAAAAACATTAAAAAATATAATGATAAACCAAAATTTTAAGTACAATGTTCCTCTCATAAATTTGAAATCCTTTTCAAATATATTACATTTAATACGGAATCTCTTTCAGTATACTTAATTTTTTTTCCTGCAAAATATTACAGTACTAGTAAAAAATGATAATACATTAGGGACGAAATTAACGGAAAAAAGAGTAGTCAATGAAATCACATAAAATTGTGTGATAAGTTTGATTTGAGATAAATGAAAATCTATGTTTCAAAATATGAAATGATTACTTATAAAGACACGCACCATGCTTTGCTGCCCGTGTTGCTTAAGCTTAAGGGCCAGTTATTGCCGTTGAATGTTTGCATAAAGCTAGATTAATTGGTTCTAATTTGTTCCTGCGGTCTTTCCGGAGACAGCAAATATCGCAGATATTGAAAGGTGCCACCACGATCAGCACGGCTCCAGATTCAACCTATAACCATGATGTAAGGCAGCTACTGAAGTTCAATGTTTCAGCTTATAACCCACGTGGCGAATGAACTTTACTATTTTTTTTTGGTAACAATGAACTTTACTATTTTAACTTCATGGTCCCCGTCCAAATTAACCTTGTACCTTAAAAATAAGAGTAAAATATTTTTTTTGTACTCAATAAATATTACGGAATTTAATTTAATTTTAAAGGAAAAAAAATTGATCCGTGATCTTTCTGAAATTCAAAATAGATCTATATATGTTGGTCTTTTTGAGAGACTAACATGAGTCTTCTTTGAATTTCAGAGAGACTACGATTTCGAATAATTAAATCTATTTTAAATTTCAGAGGATCACAAATCGACTTTTTTCTTAAGGGATTAAAACGAGCCTTATAATTTTTGTTATAAGTATTCAAAAAATACTTTACTCTAAAAATAATATATAATAAGCTAATCAGACCTGCTCCTAAATTGATCATATGACCGTTGGATCATTAATTTATGGCAAGTAGGATAAATGGTTATTTTATATTTCCAATAATCCATTAAACTATTACCTATAGTGATTCGTTCACCATAACCCTGCAATCTATATTGTCCTCGTGACCTCACCTTCTAGTTGGTTAAGAACAAGGATATGAATATGGCGACATTAATTTATGAATAATTCCAAACAAAACTGCTCGAGGTGACTTTGTGATCCACATACGTTGAACTCTCAAAAGAATCTCCATCAATAGGTCTCAGCAAATTGATAAATTTCCATGTCCATTGAACCTATGGTGAAAATGTGCCACTACATTAGTACTAGCCATGTAGGTGCTTTTGTGTAACAAATATAAATGACAGAGTGGAGCTAAGGTTCTTGCTCAACCACACAATGGAAGAGGACTCAAAGGAGAAGACCAAGGAGGAGTCACCAAAAGAAACTCGATATAGAGGGGTGCGGCGGCGTCCATGGGGAAAGTTTGCCGCCGAGATTCGGGACCCGGCGCGGCACAGTGCCCGTGTGTGGCTGGGGACATTTCTCACGGCGGAGGAGGCTGCAAGAGCTTATGACCGTGCTGCTTTTGAGATGAGAGGTGCTTTAGCCATTCTCAATTTTCCAAATGAGTATACTTTATGCAATGCAGGTTCTACTATGAACTCCTCTTCATCATTAGCACCTTCAGCTTCTTCAATGCCATCATCTTCTTCTTCTTCAATGCTTAACACTGAGCATGGTAAACAAGTTATTGAGTTCGAGTGTTTGGATGACAAATTGTTAGAGGACCTTCTTGATTGTGATGAGAATACCATCAACAAAGACATGCATAAGTATACTTAGGATTTCAATTATACTGTACAATATGGAATTTGAATGTTCACTGTTAGATTAACTTCAAAGCAAACCTAGAGTGAATGTCTTCGTAATTTCTATTGAGGCACCACTTTACTTTAGTTTTAAGGTTTGTAAGATTAATAAAGAATGATATATATGGTACATCTTTTCAGTTTGATGTCACCTAATATACATCACTTTAGACTTTGTTTGGGAGTTGATTTTAGAAGAAAAAGGGAAGGAAGGGTTTTAGTAAGTTCTTCCCTTGTTTGTGAGTTTAAAAAAAGAAAGAAAAAAATTTGGGAATTTTTACTAAATTCTCCAAAACCTTCATTCTTCTTAAAATTAAAGTTCTCCCAATTTGAGGGGTTTGAGGGAGAAAATATTAAAAATTACTTATCTACCCTTAGCATTAAAATGTTAAAACTACATAATTGTAAATCATTTTTAAGTGCGATATTATTATAAAAGTCTCAAATACCAACAAAATTTATTGACGAAAAATATTTCGTCAAAAATAGTGATGAAATTTTTGATAAAAATCATATACGTCAAAAAATTTCCGTCAAAACTAAAGACAAAATTAGAGACGGAACTAGATTTTGCCATAATCACTAACATAAATTTTATACAGAAAAAAAATCGGTCAAAATTACTGATAGAATCTAAATTCCGTCGAAACTTTTAACGAAAATATTTTCGTCCAAAATTTTGACGCAACACATTTCTATCGAAAAGTTTCGACGTAAAACAATTACGTCAAAATTTTTTACGAAAAATATTTCCATAAAAATTTGTGACTAAAAATATTTCTGTAAACAATTTTGACGCAAATTTTTTTTTTGTCAAAATTCTTTACGAAATCTAATTTTTCAAAAATATTTCACAAAAAAACATATTCATCGAAATTTTTGACGAAAAATATTTGCATCAAAAGTTTCAACGAAACACATTTCTATCGAAAATTATTGACGAAAAAAATTTCATCAAAATTCTTAATAAAATTTAAATTCCGCACAAAGTTTTCGACGGAAATATTTTCGTTAAACTCTTTGGCAAAAAAAATTTCTGTCGAAATTTTTACGAAACATATTTCCATCGAAAATTTTCGACGAAAAATATTTCCGTCAAGTTTTTTGATAAAAAAACATTTCCATCAAAATTTTCAACGGAACGCATTTCTGTCAAAAAATTGACAGAAAATATTTTCGTAAAAAATTTTGACGAAAAATTATTCTGTCAAAATCTTTACAGAGTCTAAATTTCGTCGAAAGTTTCGAATGAAACATTTCCCTCAAAATTTCTAATAAAACAATTTCTGTCGAAATTTTCGTTAGAATATATTTCCATCGAAATTTTAAAATTTTTGACAAAATTCTTTTTCGTTTAAAACATTTGATGGAGGAAATCATTTTCGTCAAAACTTGTGATGGAAACTAAATTTCGTCGAAAATTTCGATAGAAAATTTATTTTTGTAAAAATTTTCATCGGTTGAAAATTTTCGTCGCTTTTTGACGAAAAGTATTCTAACGAAAAAAATAATTTTGTAATGAAAATTTAATCGTTTGCAACGTAGAAATTTCATCGAAAATATGATCTTTTTTGGTGTTGTGAAAAGTACATAAATAATTTCTTTTAGAAATGTTAAATTTAATTTAATTTGTAAAGTATAATAATTATATTAATTCTAAGAAAAAAGGTAAAATGGTAAAAATATCTCATTGACCCTCCATTATCCTCTCATTCCATTTTTTTGACTCCCAAACAAGAGAAGGGGATATCCTCCAATATCCTTCCTTTCCTTCCCCTCCCTCCCCCTTGAATCTCCTTCCTTCCATTCCCCTCCAAACTCCCAAACAAAGCCTTAGCGTATATGAGGAATTAATTTTGGAATAGGATCCGTTTACAAATTTTTTTTGCAAATTACACTAAGTACGACCGGTCGTACACTGCATGATTAAAGTATGACCGGTCGTACTTAGTGTAGTTTGTAAACAAAAAAATTTGTAAATATAACCTGTCCCGTTAATTTTTATTAAGAAAGTTATATAAAAAACCATCTTTAAGTAGCATAACTTTATCTTTCTTTTTTATTTTTATTTTTTATAAACCACAAACATCCTCCTGCTCAGCTTCCATGTTGGGGAGGATTATCGTTATCTTTCTTAATTTTATATTAATGAAGTTTATACATATTGTTTAGCCTAATTTATTATAGGATTTAATGTTTATACTTTTATTGTAGAAAAAGTTCCTCTGTCACACTCACATAAAATTGAGTGGGTCCAATTGTAAAGAGAAGAGAAAAAATATCAGTGAAATCCACACATTTTTATGTGTGAATGGTAAAAAAACTTTTCCTACAACAAAAATAAACTTGCATAAGTACTTTTTCAAGCGAGCAAGCCAACGAGCATACAATAACACTCTTCTTTGATTTACCAAAAAAAAAAAAAATAACACTCTTCTTTGTCTTTCTTGGCTTGAACTTGTTTCTTCTAACTTCCTCGATCCATCAATGTTGAGATTTAACATTTTAAAATAATATAACTTGAAGTCAGGATTGTGTCCAAATATTAAAACCCTAAAGTCTTTTGAATTTACTAAAGTACACTATCTGTTTAACCATTTATAACAACATTTTCATATTATTGGCCATGTTAGAATAGTGTGTTTTACACCTATCACAAAGCTCTCACGATGGATAACCTTCTGAAATCAGACATATGGATGCTTAGGGAAAGTGCATATTCACTTAGCCAAGCAAATTAGAGTATCACTGTCGCAACCATACGAAATTTGAAAAAAAAAATGAATAAAAAACTGAAAGCCACGTGCAATGCAAATCTGCAACCTTGTCTTGTATTTTTGTGCATGATGATAAAGCAGAAGAAGGTTAGAACGTAACAATCCAACCATGAAATTAATGAGGTGGAAGGAAAATAATTGAGGCCCAATACTCTAGCAATCTACAGCTCATACCCAATAATTAATAGATTGCTGGCAATGAATTTGAGATAGAAACAAGGTTTGACAAATGGATCACAAATTGGTTTGGGCGTTACAAGCTTTAACCCATATTCCATTTTGTAGTCCAGTAGTTATGGCACCTAACTTTCATCGGTTTCATACGTATATAAAGAGGGGTTTGATGTTGCATGAGAATTCAATTATCATGTTGTGACTCAACTAGTGGTGGACCCATATTTATTAAAAAAAGAAAAAAAAAGTTTTGCACGCAAATTGAAGGGTCACAACATGATAATTGAATTCTCATGCAACATAAGAAAATGTTTTCCCATATAAAGACTGACCAGTTTTGTTGCAAATTCTTTTTGTTTTAGTTTTTTAGATAATGATTACGAGATTTGAATAATTTTATTATTTTATTGAGTTTGGACCATTTTCATAAAAAAGAAAACATTTTGAGGAAAAACAATTAACTTTAAAAATATTGTTGAGGGTCCAACAAGAGCTCATCTCAATTTTCGGAAGATTTTATTTTTAAATAATTAAAATACTCTTTACCAAATGATGGTAGATGAGCTGAGCAGGTGAGCGTGAGAGTACTATTCGATCATTTTTAATATCATCTTTGGAAGGAATTTAAAGATTAGTCCATAAGAAATCTATGAAATTACCAAAGGATAATCGCCAAATAAAAAAAAACACTCTTTGTTTTTGTTCAAATCAATTTAGTTAATATTATAACATCTTAATATCAACTAAAAAGTGTTGTTGGGTAAACAAGCTCTACTTCTAAGTGGGGAACCAAAGTTCATACGTGAATTAATGCAATTATATATTTTACACAAAGCCTTGCTTCTTTTCTTTCTTCTAAGCATTTCTTTACTAAAATAGTTAGTTTTATATATTTATAAAGAACGGGATTTTAGAAGAAATTTTCAATTCAAAGTATTTGTTCAAATGCTTACATTTAAAAACACTTTTATCAAAATGCAACTTTTTGATTGATTTTTAACTAAACAGCAGAAAGCATTATATATAAGTGATTTGGACCATACTAAAAAGATGAAAGATTCAGCCCAATAATAGCCTAAAAGGACAAAGGACAAAAGACAAAGACTTGGTAAAAAAGAAGGAAAAAGTGTGTATCATTTTAAAGGAGATAAAGTTGAATCATTTTAAGTGAGAGAAAGAGATGGATAAAGAAAGAGAGAGAGTAGACAAAAAAATATAAAGGTGTGGGTCCCACCTCTTTGTAAGAGTGAAAGAATATAAGTTGTGTCATTTATAAAAATAAATATTTTTTCCAAAAAAAATCGTGTGTGTCATAATCTCACAAATGCACAATTGGATTCACAACAACTCATGACTCATGAATATCCTTAATAGCCAATGACTAAGAAATATTTAGGCGATTCCACCTAAGCCTACGCATCCCGCAAATGGAATAGACTGAGAAAGCTATTACAATCTACCAATAAAGCTACTAAGGTGTCATAAAGAGATTATTGCGAGAAGCTAAAAGCCTATCATCACTCAAATACTAACTTTAGTATTTGAGTGTCTTACAGATATTCACCCCATCTATCCTAGGCAAATAAATTTTTTCAACATGAAAATCATCATCCTGCAGATATCATCCCGTACCACCCTGCAGATATCATCCCGTACCGCAAATAAGCAGATCTCATCCCTATCAAATTCAATCACCACTTGGACTATGATCAGACACAACTCTTCTTGGACCAATCAATCCGTAATTATTTCTATGCAAAATAAATTATTTTTATATTCTCGTGTGTCACTTAAAATGGAAATTAAACTATAAAAAGGGTGTTACTCACGTATAGTTTATGCATTATGTCTTGTTGGACTAATATAAGAGGCAAGATATGGAGGGCCAATCAGAGTATTTGGTAGAGGGGATATTTGTTTTTTCTTTTACCGAAAAATATAATTAATGAGAAATTGATAGGAAAGTAAATTTGATGAAAAAATTTAAAAAAATATGTTTGGTTCACCAAAATATTATCAAACA